GGCACCCTGGGCCATGTGCTGTAGGGTTACTCTGTGACCTTCCCTCAATATGTGTGGGGATTGCTAACCCCAAGGTGAGGTGGGGATGAGAGCACCCTCCTGGAAAGAGGAGGGAGAAGAGGCTGAGGCAGGAGGAAGGCCTTTACTAAGGCTGCAGCTTCAAAGTGGTGGAGCCTGAATCTGGTTCCAAACAGCCTGAGTGGAGCCCAGAGGCTTTGCTGGAAGGTTCGTCTAGCTTCTCCCAAGAAAGGGGGTCTTCACTTCCCTGCTGTCCCGTCTTCGTGCCCCCACCTTGCGTGTAACATACTACCAAGTGTCTATTTCAGTATAGGGAAATGCTTGTCGGCACATGAAATCTCACGGTTGCCAAGTGGTCACTGTCTCCTGTAGAGAGATGGGCATGTGAGTTTGTATGCTGCGGCTGCAAAATTGCTATTGCTTCAATGGTTTCAAAGAAAAAAAAAATAACTTCTTTAGTGAAATAAACCAATAGTGATAATTTCCAAACATGCGGAGCAGGAGAGCCCCTCTGGGCAGCTCCTCCAATTCTCTCTCCGGGAACGCTCTTCATGTCTCACTCACGGACTCAAGGAGCTCAGGGCGGGATGGCCTCCAAGAGCTGGGTCCATAGCTATCATTTCATCAGAAGGGACAACGAGGAAGGTTAGTGACCTCAAGGAGCCTGCTGGGCCACTTTGTCACAGGCCTGGATGACCTCCCGGGCCCTCCAGGAGGAAACGCCTCTGAGGAGTGGGGAGCCTGGGACAGGGTTTACCTTTGCCGGTTTAACCTTAACCACACATTTAGCCTGTGCCTTGTCCCTTTTCCCTTCTTTTCTCTTAGCGCCTTTGGGAGTTTAAGGCTGTGATAAGTGCGTGCCAACAGGGACACAGGTGAGGGAGGTGCGGGCCCGGCAGGGGCTGGGTGGGACATGTTGCTGCCTGGATTTTTCATCCTGGAAAATGGGAGGGGACAAAGGAGGTAGCTTGTGCTCCTGTCTTATGGGAACTGTGCTCAAGGAGGACTTGGATTTGATCGCCCTTTGAGATGGGTCTGGACAGAACAGCACAGCTCGGGAAGGCTTCCCAGGATGTGAGTGGGTGGCAGTCCTTTTGCACAGCGCCGGGAGAAAGTGAGTTTGCAACACACATCTGCAGGACTCGTGTCTTACCAGTACAAGGAGAGAGAGGTTTTTCTAAACTCGCCGTATGAGGTGAGGATTCAGGTGGCTCAGGAGCCAGGGCCCTCTTTAATAAACCTGCAGCCAGCTTGTTTTCTTATCCTGAAGCCCTGAAATGTGCCATGCTATACAAAGAGGGGTTACATCTGTGCCTCCCAAGTGTAGGGATACTCATCCCTGAGTCCCCTCTTGACAAGCACAGAGTTTCTGAGACTCTCGGCAGCCCTTCCAAGTTCTGCGTGGGTCTGGCTCTTAGTCTTAGTTCGCAGCAGAGCAGCTGGGTATTGGGCTCTGTCCCAGGGTATCAGGGGACCTGCCTTGGGCACATTCTCCACTTCATTCCAGATTTAGACCTTGAACAATTCAGGGCTCATCCGATCTCAGAAGGGGCTTGGAGGTAATGGATCAGCTGCTGTTTCTGTCTCAAGTACAGGCAGACTAGCTCCTCTGAACAAAGGTCTCTCTTTTTTTTTTTGAGACAGAGCCTCAAGCTATTCCCCTTGGGTAGAGTGCCATGGCATCACAGCTCACAGCAACCTCCAACTCCTGAGCTCAAGTGAGTCTCCTGCCTCCACCTCCCAAGTAGCTGGAACCACAGGCGCCTGCCACAACGCCTGGCTGTTTTATTGGTTGCAGCCATCATTGTTGTTTGGTGGGCCTGGGCTGGATTTGAACCTGCCACCTTAGGTGTATGTGGCTGGCGCCTTAGCTACTTGAGCCACAGGCGCTGAGCTGTGAACAAAGGTCTCTTAACGTCATTGTTGACCATCTGATTCAGAGCAGACCTGGTGGGATGGGTTGTAACCCACCTGACAACCAGGAGGTTGGAAGGCGTCCAGAGCTTTGGTGTCAGCAGGTGCTACTGCAGCTGAATCATGGGATTCTAGATACGTCAGTTTTACCAAATCCTCGTTTCCCAACCTGCAAAATAGGGATGGGGAAGGCTGCTCACTAGGGGTTCTGCCGGGCTCTGTGACAGGGGCCATGGAAGCTGCTGAGCACCGCCCTGGCTTTGAGGGTGGCCAGGCCTGGGAAGAGGCGAGTGGTGGACAGCAGCTGGTCTGGGGTAGGGATGCAAGTGGATGTGGAGCTCTCTGTGACCTTGGAGGGTGGCCCCGAGATGCTGTGGGTCATCACCCCAGTTTTAAGTGAGTGCAGACTCCCATAGAAAGTTGGCTGCATGAGGGGGCCAGGTGAGCTCCTCCTTTCTGCCCTTGTTTCCTTCCCTTTTCAGAGGCTAAGGTGATCCTCTGGGCACCTCTGGGGCACCTCACATGAACCCTGTGTTTCTGAACACTTCAGATAAACGGCCTGTGCAGTTCTACACTCTCTTGCCTTTTTACCATCTCAAGGGTTAGGGCCTCCATGGGGCGATGTCACAGGCTCCAGGGTCCTCTTGTGAGCCTGTGGTCAGCGGATGCAGTCTGCGGGATTTCAGGCCCGTGGTCAGCGGATGCAGTCTGTGGGATTTCAGGCCCGTGGTCAGCGGATGTAGTCTGTGGGATTTCAGGCCTGTGGTCAGTGGATGCAGTCTGTGGGATTTCAGGTTTTGAGCATAGTGATATCTTATCAAGATGTGCATTGCTGAGTCAGACTCAGGAAGTATTGAAAGGACAACAGTCTGTGTGTCTGTCTGTGGCAGAGGAGGTGGGCCCTGGGTTCCCTCAGGAAAAGCAGTTCCTCTTAAATCCTGAAACCCTCACTCCTCACCCCAGGCCTCAAGGAGGGCAACTCCACACTCGCTCCTGTGGGCACAGTGTGGAATTAAATGTTTGCCAGGTCACTATCACAGTGCTTGTGTATCTGTTGAGTTATGTGACGGTGTGATCTTGGGAAAACGGAAAGCATAACTCAGGTCCTGTAACTACAGAACAGTTGCAGGGATTAGGCCAGTGTGTTCCCACATTGCTGTGTTCAGGACGCATGGTCTGGACAGGGTCAGCTCGTGAGTGTTTCTGTAGCACCCAGCCCCTGGCAGCTCCAACCCTCAGAGGCTGCCTGAAAGGTGGGAGTACTGAAGACTTTTGGAAATGATTGGGACTCTCTTTTTAAGCGAAGAGTCTCCCTGAAATGGGCTTTGCTCTATTAAGACTGTATCTGTGCCGCTTTAATTTTAGTCTTACAAGTTGCATGAATTAGTCTAGATAGGTTTTCAGTGAATCATTTTCTTGCCAGGATAGTGACCTGGCAAAACATTTAATTCTCCCCCGTGTGCCCATATGAGCGAGTGTGGAGTTGCCCTCCTGTGAGCAGGGCCCTGAGGCCTGGGGTGAGGGGTAAGGGTCTCAGGTTTTCATGAGTTCACTTCTGTGCATTCAGTTTGACCCTGGGGTAGCTATTCTGAATGATTCTTTTATACACAGTAACAGTTTGTCCTCTGAAATATTGAATCAGTCAACAATACTTAAAAAAAATCTTTTTGAAACTTATTTTTGCAGTTTTAATAAGGAAGGAAATACTGGTAATTTTCAGAGTTCTCATCCGAGCTGTGGAAGGCCTTGAGTCAGGTCTGGAGGATCACTGGAGTGAGTGTGCTGACCCAGTAGCTTCCCAGGCACAGGGTGGGTGGCCCAGTTTAGGGGTGGGGGCAGTGGACCGGGCGTGGAGACTGTGGGATGTCACCGGGCCAGGTGGGGTTTTCCACCATTGATGAGACGTTTCTATGAATGAAATGTTTGAGGCTGACCCTGTTCTATCACTTCCAAAGGGAGGGACAGAGGAGTGGAGGGCCAGGGGCTCACCTGGGGACAGACAGTGAAGAGTGTGGACATGGGGACGTGGTCCAGCCCCCTGGCCTCAAAAGCATGTGCTCTAATTCTTTCCCTTGTTTTGAGGCTGAGATGATGATGATTATCTTTGTGGTTTTGGAATTGTCACTAGGTTCTGTGCTGGTATGATTTAAAGAAAACGTCTGTCTTGGTGATCTCTGAACTGTCCGTAGAATCTATCTTCCGTCCCTCCATTTCTCACTGAGGGAGCCCAGGTTACTTATAGGCTTCTCACCTGCTGAGGGGGACCCCAGCTCTAAGTCAGGGGTGTCGATACTTCTGAGAAAGGTGTCCGTGGACCAGTGATGATGTGTACCAGGAGGACTGTCGGGGCTATGTCCACCTCGCTGGGGGCCTCCTGCCTGCAGCATCCCCTGACTCAGGGTGGGAAGAGCAGTCAGTACTCCTTGCCCGGGGGTGCCTGGGTTTCCCTCCCATGTCTGCCATCTTTTAGGAGACCTCTTACCTCTCTGAGCCCCATTTCTCTCACTTCCAAAATGTTGGAGATCATTCTTACTCATAAAGTTGCTGGATGTATGCCCTGAAACAGTTCTCCAAGAAGCCTTACCACAGAGCATAGCCCCCCCCATGCACGCACACACAGAAAGGCTGTAGAAAACTGTAGTAATTACAACCTGAGGCTTCTCTTTTTGTTGAGTAGGATCTTAAAAAAAAAAGAGTAGATATAACTGAGATTTCCCAACAGTCATCCATTAATTGACTGTTTCAAGTAGGGAACAGCAGCAGTGAGAGTAACTGCAGCTCCTGCCGACTGAGTGCCCCTGAGTCCCAGAGCATCAGCCCACCTTGCCCTGACTCGGGGGTGGGTCTTACTGTCTCTTTGTAGAAGCCCCTTTTGCTGCTGTTTGATAGAATAGTGCCATTTGGTGACTTTAAACACATGGTATGTGTATGCTGAGCCCCCTCTGAACCAGCAGTGACCCTTTATGATTGAACTGTGGGACAGCTGCCCCTGTTCCTTCTCAGTGGTGCATATGCCACGTGACACAGGGAAGGGAACTTGAACGTGACCCTTGTGTTGTTACTTACAGGCTCCGAGAAGCCCCAAGCCGTCCAGGTCTCTCTGCTGTGACAACCCGTTGAGGTGAGTGTTCATGAGGGTAACACGTCCCGGTGCCTCTGGCTGTGGGTCAGATCTCCACTGAGAAACCTTGGACATGCTGTTATTTTATTCTGTAGTAATCTTAATTTCTTTTGTGATTTCAAACAACAATAATCAAAGGTGATACATACCAGGTTTTATATCCATTTCTAAGTGTAATCTTAAGCACTGGAAGTCCAATTTCTGAAACACATGTGACTGCCTTTCAATAAACAATTCCATTGCAGTGGCCTGACTTTGTGTGTGTGTTGGGTGTTCCAGGGTTGAATACAGAGCACTGGAGCCTTTGAGTGGTGCCTGGAGGAGCCACCTCCAGCCAACACCCAAAATGTGCTTCCTCCCAGCTGCCCGTGCTAGCCCCGAACTCGGATGCAGACCCTTTCCTTCTCTGGGTGGAACCACAGGAGCCCCTCCTGCTGATGCCCTGCGCCCTCATCCTTTCCCATCCAGCCCCTGCATCACTGCTCAGGGCTGCTTTTTCTCTTTGTATATCCTGCTAGTAGCATATGGTACCAAGTCGTGCCCTGCAAGGAAATTTAGACTCATGCCCTCGTGCTACAGGGAAACGGTGTAGAGAATGTGTGATCATTTCCACAGCCTGCCACTCCAGGCGCTGCGGGTAGACGCCCTCTCTCCCTGGTCATTTCCACGGCCCGCCTCTCCAGGCGCTGTGGGTGGACGCCCTCTCTCCCCTGTCCTGGTCCTTTAGCTGCGTTTGCTGAGCACCCCTTGTCCTCTCTCCTAGGCCCGCAGTCTTGAGCCCGGCCGGCCTGAGCCCCACCATGGAGGAGGGCCACGAGCTGGACCTCACCTACATTACGGAGCGCATCATCGCCGTGTCCTTCCCTGCCGGCTGCTCCGAGGAGTCCTATCTGCGCGACCTGCAGGAGGTCACGCGCATGCTCAGGTCCAAGCACGGGGACAACTACCTGGTGAGTGCTGGGGCTGGCTCTCACCACCGCACGTCCAGGGAAGCTTTGGGCAGGCCCTGGAGTGGGTGCTGTGTGCAGAAGCGTCCCTGGCGCCTGACTCGGAAGGTGACGTGCAGGGGCGCTGGTCCTGCGCTGCCTTCCTGCTGAATCCCCGCTGAGTCGCATTATGCCTTGCCCTAGGCAGCTGTGGGGTGTGAGGCGGCTGCCACAGTGATGGCTGCTGCCTCGCCCTGTCCTGAGGGGGTGTCACCCATCAGTAAAGATGGCTCCATGATGCCCCCAGGACGTGGCCATGGCCAGCTACCCCTGTGGCATCCTTGGTGACTCTCCTGAACAAGAAATTAGGAAGACAAATAAGGTGGGTGTCGGAGAAACCAGGGGCTGCCCTGGAGACCAGTAGACAGCTCGGCTTTCAGAATACACTAGTGGGAGAACCTGCATTTGAGGAAATACATATATAAGAGCCTCTCACCAAGTCTGACCCTCCACCATGCACTTTGGTTTCTGTTCTCAGGGCTGCTGGCCTGTAGAGAGGCCTGTTTCCTTTTCTATTCCGATCACTATGGGGTTGAATTACAGCTCCCTGCACCTTCTCCACTTCTGCCTCCTTGTCTCTTGTGGGTCCTTGTGGATCCACTCCCATGACTGGAAGTGGGAAGGGTCCCACGTGGCAGAGTGGGAAGTGACCTCCGTCTGGCTTCAGAGCAGCCTTGTCCCGGTCCTCCTGCTCCTTCAAAAGCCGGTCCTGGCTGTGCCCTGGCTGTGGACAGGGAAAGGGTGTGCAAGCCCTGTCTGGTGGTCACACTGTCATCAGGGTCCTCTCTCCCAGCTTCCTTCCTCTATCTCAGAGGAGGCCTGCTCTGTAGGACCACAGTGCCCTCCTTTGGAAACCATGCATGGGTTGTTCAGCATGTCCCAAACCTGTCTGGCCATCCTACCCTCGTCCCCAGGCCTACCTTGTGCAAGGAGAACCTGCTGAAGGTCCCAGATGGCACCGGGCTGGGTCTGGGGCATTTCTTCTTCTGACTATGGAGCCTTCTCAGGGCCAGGGTGCCTCCTGCAATGTGGCCAGGGCCAGGGTCAGGGGCCGCTACTTGTTTTGGGACAAGGACCTTTATGAAAACCTTGACAAAAGTCCCGTGTAGGTCCTCAGTTAAGGACCCCAGGGAAGGCTCATCTCTGTTTTTACTCATCTAGTAATTAGATATAAAAGCCAAATGGTCCCGGATCCCACAGGCTTTTTATGGATGACAGTCAGGGTGACGTCTTGCCGTAGGAAGGGCAGCTGTACCCCTGATGTTCTGATGGGACTGGGACGGGGACAACATCAAGTAGGCACAGGAGGCACCTGGCGCCGGGTTAACCATGAAGTGTGGGCCCCACATCAGGGCAAGGGCAGCCCCTCCACTTAGGAACAGGCCTCACGGGGCGACCCGGACCAGCCCTGCTCTCCTGGTCTTCACGTCCTGTCTCCGCAGAGAGAAGGGTGTTTAGTTAATTGTTAAGGCCCCTTCCTGCTGGAGCGTTATTCTTTTCATTTTGTTTTACTTGAGTATTTAGCAAGCAGAAAACAACTCTGATTTTTCAGTGAAGTTTGAACATGGCTCTTGGCTGGCCATGAACTCAGTCCTTTCTAGGCCTGGCCTGCAGCACTGTAGAGGAGGGACTGTCCTTGGCAGGTGTGCCTCCTGAGTCCCCGGCAGGTGTGCCTCCTGAGTCCCTGGCAGGTGTGCCTCCTGAGTCCCCTGTAGGTGTGCCTCTTGTGTCCCCTGCAGGTGTGCCTCCTGAGTCCCCTGCAGGTGTGCCTCCTGAGTCCCCGGCAGGTGTGCCTCTTGTGTCCCCTGCAGGTGT